GGGCGGGCTGCATCCTCACCTGTGTGGAAATGAACACATCACTCACCCCGCTTGCGTTTGTCCAATGACAGCATGACACTGACAGTCACAAACAATGTTTCAAATATGAGCTTTTTTTAGGTGTTTTACATTGAAAAGTTGAATGATTACTGCATAATCTGCTAACAATTTAAGAGTAATACAAGTACGTGTCACACTTAAAATATAAAGGTTGGGTAGGGTTTGTTTGTTTTTTTGTTTGTTTTTACCCCAATATTTCAGTCTTAGTTTTTTTTTAATAATCTCAATTATATAGTCAAATGTATTTAATAAACTTTATTATTATTATTAGTAGTAGTAGTAGTAGTAGTAGTAGTATTTGTAGTAGTAGTAGTAGTAGTAGTGTGTGTGTCTGTGTCTTTCTGTGTCTTTCTGTGTGTGTGTGTGTCTGTGTCTTTCTGTGTGTGTGTGTGTGTGTCTGTGTCTTTCTGTGTGTGTGTGTGCGTGTGTGTGTGTGTGTGTGTGATGTACAGACATACGTAAAATGCCACAGTATAAAAGTTCAATTTTCTTCATTTGTAATTAATGACACTAATAAGTAATTAATTTCAAAACATAAGGATTGTTGTCTTCCTGTCATTTTGGCCTGGAGTTCTCCGTCCCTCTGTATTTCTGTAAGTGTGTAACATTCTTTTCTCTCAATCCAAACCACAGGATTCCCGCAGCTCGGATGAGTCCGATTGTGAGGATGAACTAGACCCCAAAACTAGTATGGAGGTAGAGATACTGATCTCGATGCATGCTGCCCAATAAGATTTGTATTTATTAATTTTTTTTGTGATTATTTATTGTAATTATTATTTTGTAATAAACTGAAGTTATTAGTAAATAGATATGCTTTTTAAAGCTCTAATCTAAAGAAATGTCTAAACCTCTTTTTACATGAGTGTTGTTTTTATTTGGCCTACGTTGTTGTTGGTAAGTTTTTATTTTAACTAATTGTGTGGAGTGACTTGCATTTTCACACCAAGGACAAAAACTATAAAGTTTTCATAATCATTCTAATTCTATAAAATCAAGGAAGTTCACACCACAGCTAAAATAAAATCACTTTCAGACTTCACTTTCATCATTCACACATCAGAATAAACTAAATAACCATATCACACACTTATAATGAACAATGTTAATATCAGGTATCGTCCTGGTATGGCTGCTAATGTAGTTATTGTTTTAGTTACCTGTATATTTATTGTTCTTGGTGTGAATGGGCCTTAACCCCAGTGTAAAGCTTTTGGCAATGTTCAGAAAGAAGTACTGAATTCAAATCTTAATTCTTACTGCATACTGGGCAGAATATCCAGCACTGAAAAAAAAAAAACAATAATAATAATGTAGGATTTACTGAAATTAGGATAAAATCTTTTTTGGTTGCTCTAGAACAGAAAAACCAGATGAGGCCTCTGTCAGAAAGACGACTGGCTCTTATAACTGAAAGATGGACAGCCACCAATATTACATGCTAAAAAAAGATATTTGTGGTTGATATTTTTAATTCATCACACTGGAAATCCAAGGTCAGTCAGAGCACATTGTGTTTCTGGAAATCACAAGCTGTGTGCTCTGGATGCATGTCTCTGATTTTCCCAATGTATTTGGTCTGGATTCAGGATTTGACATACTACACAATAATAGCACACTGCAGAAACGGTGTTAGTAGTATGCTAGTATGCTATTTTGAACATACACAATGGCTGAAATCGAAATAGCGTGCTAACATGCAACACTTACAATTCCCCCATATCTTAATATGGAAAAAATAGTACAAGTTGTATGTCATTTCAAATACAGCCAGTGTCTATCATGTCATGCGATGGTTCTGCCCTCTGTTGGCTTGTGCTGACATGACACAACATAAAACTTCCTCCTTTTTTTGTAGAGTCATATACATTCAGTATATGACTCTGTCTAGAATGCTTAAAGGATGCACATGTAACACTCATCTGACTGTTTTGCAGTTACTGAACCCTAATTTCATCCAAGATGGTGAGTTTATTAATGTACAGATGCAGTGATATTTGGTTTATTTGTATTTTCTGCTAGTGTATATTGTGATCATACATATTTCACCTGTAGCTTGTTTTAGAAATGGAATTAAATCTTTCCTTGAATGAAGTGAGATGAAAGAGAAGATCCATCAGAGTGACATTGTGCTGTGTATTGATGTACAGTGGCTCCGGAGTTCCTGACGCCTCTAGCGGACGTGACGTGTGCTCTGGGGGAGACGGTGGTCCTGTGCTGTAAAGTCTGCGCTCGACCCAAGCCCACAATCACCCTGAAAGGACCCGATCAAAGTCTGCTGGTCAACAATAACCGATTCACGATCAATATCAGGTACAAATCCACAATCAGTCACAATGCAAATCTGTCACTGGGCCAGTACCTTGTCAGAAGGTACACCTTTGTACATATTTACCTCTAAAGGAGGCATATTAGTACCTCAAAGGCACATTTCTACCTGTGTATATATTAGTACTAGTGCTGTCAAACGATTAATCACGATTAATCTAGGGCTGCCACTAACAACTCTGTAAAACTCAATTAATTAGACAGGCTTTTTGATTAATAAAATGTAATTTAATATTAAAACAGTGTATAGAAAAATGAAAATGGAACAAAACTGAATTTGGAAATAAAACGAATTTCATAGGGCCCTGTAATTATAATTATTCTTTTTGTGGTAATAAAAATAGATGTAAGTGAACAATAGCCTTTAAAATTACTTAAAATACATATATAATAGCAATGAGGCAATACTAATTAGTTCAAATAAAGTATCAAAAGCAAGAAATCATATGGTTTTATTGAACAAAATTGTTAAAATATCATATTCTTATATTTTATATTATATATAAATATATTTAATATATAAACAACATATTTTTCTTAAATATATACATGCATGTGTTTGTATTTATTTATACATAATACATATACACCGTATACACACACATATATTATGTAAACAAAAACTTTTATTTTGGATGCGATTAATCGCGATTAAATCGTTTGACAGCACTAATTAGTACCCAAATAATACATGTTAATACAGGTACCTTTTGAAAGGGTATTGCCCCAGAGACAGCTTTGCAGCTTTGTTACTGAGTGTATATTGCAGTATGCTTGCTTTCAGGAAAGTGTTGAGGAACAAATAAATGTTTTACATTCAAGTTCAGATCATGTCTTCTGAATTTCTTTTGTGGGAAAACAGTACCCATGTAACCTCAGAAGTCTCATTGTTATGTAACTGTCCCATGATTCCTCTGTTTTTTTTTCTTTGCCACTGTGCCATTGACTGGTTCTCAACCCACCTATACAAAAGCACTGTACAAACAAAACACGGTTTGTAATTTTTCAATCCCCACCCAATGCTAAAAAGATAAGTAGCTTCAGAAATAAAAACAAAATCTAACATAAAGGCAGCCTGGGTAAACACAAAACACCGTTTTTAAATTGTGTTTTAAACAATGTTACTTATTAAAGCAAAACAGTTATCTAATACCAACTAGGCCTGTGTGAAAATGTATGTGCCATTGTAATTAATTCCCCAAATCTATGAAACTGCATTCATAATGGTGTTCAGTTGGACTAGACGCGACCAACCTGTTCAATACACCTTTTTCAACTGCATGAAGTTGTTAAAAAGGTATTTATTTTCCAGTAACACACTAAAGGTGAAAGAAATTCCAAAAATGATAAGGAAGAAGGTGATTGAAATCAAGGAAGGGTTAAAAAGCTATTTCAAAGACTCTTGAAATCTAAAGACCAAAAGTGAGAGCCATTACCTCTAAATGGGAAAAAACTCAGCACAGTAGCGAACCTTCCCAGAAGTGGCCGACCTTCCAAAATTCCTTCGAAAGCACAGCGAAAACTCATCAAGGAAGTCATTAAAGACCCAAGGACAGCATTGTAGGAACTGGAGGCCTTTCGTGCACCAATAAAGGTCAGTGTTCTTGACTCCACTAACCGAAAGACACTGATCGAAAATGGTGTCCATCGACAAGTGTGAGGCGAAAACCACTGCTAATGCAGGAGACCTTTTGGGAGAATGTTTTATGGACTGATGAGTTGAAAGTGGAACTGTTTAGAAGACAGGTTACATCTGATGTAAACCAAACACTGAATTACACACACACACACACACACACACAAAAACCCCATCATACTTATACAGTCAAGCATGGTGGTGGCAGTGTTCTGGTGTGGAGATGTTTTGCTTGGGCCTGGGCAACTTGCAATAATTGAGGGAAACATGAATTCTGCTCTCTACCAGAAAATCTTAAAGGAGAATGTACGGTCTTTTGAAGTTGAATCTCAAGTACAACTGGATTATGCATCAAGACAATGGTTCAAAGCACAGGAGCAAGTCCACCTCTGAATGGCTCAAAAAAAGTACATTTAAAATGTTGGAGTGGCCTAGACAAAGTCCTTACTTGACTCCAATTGAGATGCTGTGGCAGGACCTTCAACAGGCATTTCATGATCGAAAATCCCTCCAATGTGGCTGAACTAAAGCAGATTTTACATTTAAGGGGGCAATTAGTTTTTCACGTGGGTGATAGGTTTTGGATTATGAACTTAAAAAAATAAATAAATGAAAAGAATAAAAAACTGTATTATGTGAATTATTGTATTAACTATTTTATTTAAGCAAGAAAAACTAAAATGAATTATAACTAATAAGACAATTGTATAATGAAACAATGAAACAATTGTCTTTAAACTGTATTAAATGACCTCCTTAAAGATAATACTAGTCTAATAAACTTGAATGTAAATATATATTTGTATATATAATTGCTTTCGTTAAAGATTTCTAAGATGATGATTTTGCCATTATATTGTTATTTCTGAAAGTAACTTTCTAAAGTAACGCTCTCTCTGTTTGCTGTGCCTGCTCAACTTCAGGGAATCAGGTGATATAGTGCTGAAGATCTGTAATCTGATGCCTCAGGATACTGGCATCTACACGTGTGTGGCTGTGAATGATCATGGCACTGCCTCCTCATCTGCATCTATTAAAGTACAAGGTAAAAAGAAACAAAGAGGAATAAAGATGGCGAGTGTACAACTCACCTTCCCACATGTTTGACTGTCCTCACGTTCTCTGGTGCAGGTATCCCAGCAGCCCCTGCTCGGCCTGTGGCACAGGAAGCCAGCAGCACCGCAGTGATTGTCCACTGGCTTCCTCCAGCCAGCTCAGGAAACTCTGCCATCTCCAGCTACACTGTGGAATACAGGCAGGAAGGTAAACAATTGCACAGCTGTACATTCCCAGCAGTCTCAGCATAGCCAAACATCCACTGAGAGAAGTGAGAACTACTGCCTGCTTTCTGTTGTAATGAGAGACACTTAAAGGGGTCATGTAATGGAAAACTACTAATTTTGCTCTTTTGAAATTAGAGTTTGATGTACAGTGTATTAGCCATTTAGTGTCACATCACGTTAGTCTTCAATGTCACATGATCCTCCAGGAAAAAAAATAAAAATCATATTAAAGTTTTGTATGTCTGTAACTTTTGTGTGTATGTATTTGTGTGCAGACTCTCTGGTGTGGCACCAGTCGGTGGTCTCCACTGCAGACGTGTGTGTGAAGATTGAGAATCTGATTCCTGGTGGCCATTATCAGTTCAGAGTCAGTGCCTGTAACCCCTGGGGCATCAGCCCACCCAGTGAACCCTCAAACATGGTGACATTACCCAGCACAGGTCAATACACTCAAATCAAACATAAGTACTTTTCCAAATTGAACCGTCTTCCTGTCTAGGTAGCTGTATCATAGCTGAAATTGATGCTCTTGAAAGTGTATTAGTTTGGAAAGTACATGATATTCTAGAGTAGTCTATCTATAAAAGCAGTGTGTTGCTGTTTATTCAGTGCTGCGCATATATATATATATATATATATATACACACACACAAAGTAAACCAAAAGATTGAAGGGTGATTCTCAAAAATCTATATTTTCTGCAAGCTTTTTTCAAGATAAATTTAGATGTCTTTCCAAAAAAGGACACTTAGAAACTCCAAAAGGACACCAAAGAACCAAATGATATAAGGAGCCCATATAAGCACATATGAAAGAAAAAAAAA